AACATCAAAAAGGGAAGCTTGAAGGAGATCAAAGCTGCTCCGTACTTTGCCCGTTTTGGCGAAAGCCTCCCCGATCTTGCGGTTGCGGCCTCCGTAGCAGGTCGTGATGAGGTCAGCGACGCCGCAGCTCTCCAGGAAGGTGGTGGGGGAGACGGGGCAGTTTGTGCAGAAGACCCTGGCGAAGGCGATCATCTCCATCAGGCCGAGACGAATCACCGCCGCTTTGGTGTTGTCCCCGAACCCCAGTCCGTCGCAGAAGCCTGCTCCCACCGCCACGATGTTCTGCAGAGACAGCCACAGACACGCTGAAACCTGGTTTGTTTGTGTGAAACCTGTTTTATTTGTGTGCAACATGTTTTTGTGTGTGTGTGTGCACAAAGTTTGAGGACAGTTTGTGAAGCAGGTTTAATTTGTGTGCAACATTATGGCATGAATTTAACTCCATACTGCAGCGGTGGTAGCTGAGAGTTTTGCTTACACACTGTGCAACATATTTGACTAAATCTTTGATAAAGTCAACCCTGTGTGTCTTTCTGGTTGTAAAGATGTTTCCACTGGATAAAAAAAATTGATGTCTATTCTTTAGTTGAAATAATTTTTCTTCCAATTTGGGGAGCTTTCTCAATTTGAAACACAATTTCAGCTTCCCTTTGAATTGAGAATGTCCCCACGATGGAAAGAGAAACATATTTAGCAACAAAATCGAAGTCCAGTTGTTTTGTTCATCCATTTCTTTACTCACTTTTCCTTACAATCGATAAGCATTCCTCCAAAGAACAGTCAGGCTTTATTTAGCGAGAGGTTTTTTTTTCAGTTGTGACAAATTCAATAGATTTAAAAAATTTCTATTAAAACAAATGTGCCTCTTTCTTTAGTTATAATGTGCTTTAAGCACATTTACTGCTTTGAGTCAAGATTAGTTTAGTAAAGAAGAGAAACCTTGAGCGCCCCGCAGAGCTCCACCACATCTGACTCCTCCACCACAGTCACGCGAAAGTTGGGGGTCTCCATCAGCTCCTTCAGCAGCGGCCCCACTGCCTTGTCCCTGCACCCTGAAACAACAAAAAACCATGTTTTTGATGGGACAAAAATAGTTCAATTAAACATTTTCACCCAAATTACTCCAAAAATTGGGCCGAGTTTTAATGAAGTGATTGGGTAAAACAATAATTGAGGTTGAACCTAAAAAGCTTTAATTAAACACCAGTTTTTCCTCCAGATGCTGTCCACATTGGATGAAGTCTCATATGATGGTGATTTTATTACGCTCACAGGTTTTTGATTTTAGTTAAAGCCTCTTTATAAAAAAAATGATTACATGCTTTTTCTATTTCCTGTGACTTTCTGTCGGGGTCAAAAAGAGACAAAACCTGGATGCAGTTTTCTGGAAGAAACTTTAAACAAAGTGAAACCTTATGAGTTTGCAGAAGCTTAACACTCACAGACGTACAACTATCCTAAAGTAAAAGCAAGACGAGGATTAAACAGCTCAGTGCGTCCTGGTTACATCAGTAACCTCCCTCACCGATGGTTGTTTCACAGAATTTCTCATCAGCGACCTCATTAGCGATGTTTGCACCCATGAGGACTGTCATAGTGATGCCCAGTTTCCCTCGGATGACCTCGGAAATGAGCTTCAGACCCTCAGGACCGGCATCTACACCCTGGAGTAAAAACAAAACAAAACATGGGAAATATATAAATACAAATAAAATAAATGGTTTGTTATAAAATATTTTAATAGTTTATTGCAGAGGTTTTCTGTTGCTTTGGTCTGAGTTAAACTAACCTTGATGAGGGACATTCCGACAGCATCTTTCTTTATGTGGTCTTTAATGGTTTCACACACTCTCCCGATGAACTGGTGTGGAACCACAAAGATCAGGACGTCGGCTCCTTTCACAGACTCGGCCAGGTCTGGGACAGCCACCTGGTGAAAAAGACGGAGGACTCAATTTGGCAACGCCAAGCCGAGGAACAACGGTGCATCTGCACCACAGTTAATAACTCTTCTGATGGGTTGACAGATGCAGCACCTTCGCTGCAGACTCACCACGTTGGCAGGCAGCTTGTGGCCTGGCAGGTATTTCACGTTCTCATGGTCTGTGTTGATGATTTCGGAGAGTTTGCGGTCGTTCACCGTCTCCTCAAACACCCACATGTTAACCGTGGTGTCAAACTGGTCATATTTGGCTGCGTTGGCACCAACGATCTTGGCAATGGCAGATCCCCTGTGGAAACAAGGACACATAAATCTGGAGTTGGAAAAAAATCGCTGGTTGAATTTATTGCTTTTTTTGAAAAGATTGCATTTTTTTTCCTTGTGACATAGTAGCAGAAATTTTGAAATTGCTYGTACTAAAGGCACTTTACACTGTGTTAAATGCTTTTTTTTTTCTCTTTTGTATAAGTGCTTTATTTTTAGTTAAAAGCCATGTGGAGAAGTTTGTTTTWGTATGACAAAAATCCTCTTTACTGTCTTACTGATGCCCCACTTTCAGTGTGAACATCGTTTAAAAGTCCATAAGTTATTGTTAAAAAGTTAGATCACTGCAATGCGTTCCAGGATTAGAATAAAAACTGGCAACAAAAGTAATTAAGACTTTGAGTAGCTTTCTTTTAGAAAAACATTTACCCAAAAGAAAAAAAAATAATAATAAAAATAAAGAGAGAAAGGACATTAATTTTGACCAGGTCTGCACTTTTACTTCTTTAACTTCCCACATCACAAAGCATTTTAAATTTGGATTATTTAAAAAAAATGCAAACTATGAAATGTAAAAAACTTAATGGTGAATGACGTCAAATTTGAATATTATAAAGCCACAAAGTGACACTTCAACCATATGCTAAACATTGGATAAGTTTTTTTTTCCTCCTGCAGCATAAAATCTAATATAATGAAGTAGCTGCATCCAGCACAGGCTAAATGTCAAACTGACTGAAGGACATCAACACCACATGAAGGCTGGTTCAGCACAGATACTGTGCAAACCATTAAAATGTCTTCTTTAATCAAGATTTCAAAGTTAAGGACATGAAGAGTCAGCAGCACTTTAATGAAAACACACTCTGCAGCCTTGCAGAAAGAAGAAAGAATAAAAAAAGCAAGGAGTTATACAGTTTGTTAATCATTTATCTGCTTTTAAAGTTGCACAAGTTTGCAAACTTGCAAGTACAAAAGCTCCTGAGCTCTGCGTGCTGAATCTTATCCTCAGACACCCCTCCACCTCCACCTCCACCACCTATCTGAGCACTAAATGCTCCTCTCACCAGTTCCCAGAGCCGATCACACACACTTTCTTGGGCGCTGCCATCGCAGGGGTTTGGAGCTGCTGCTGGTGCGAAAAACGGACTGAGGTCCAGAACAGAGTGGGTTTATATCAGGAGGACAGCTGAGGAGCAGGAACACCCCCCTCTGCTGATGGTTGGTCTGCTCTGTCGACCCTCTCCCTCAGTCCCAGAGGCGCAGAAGAGTCCGAGATCCACAGGAGGCACTGCCCCCCCACTTTGATTAGAAGAGCCCCCAGAACCCAAAGATCACGTCTCAGAATTGATTGAATCAGTTTTTATCAGTAAATAAAGAGCTGAAATGATTTGGCCTTGTGGCTCCCAGGTCTGGGCTTGTGACCAGGGGAGATAGAGCCTTTTTGCAGGACCTCGGCTCTGGGACAACCTCCCCCTGTCTGTGAGGTCTGCTGGGTCTCTAAATGAGTTCAAGTCTCTGTTAAAAACTCATCTGTTTAAACAGGCACTGAGTCTGAAGAGCACGATCATTAGGCCAGCCTTTGCTGTTTTCTTTGATTTTATTACTGTACTTTGTTCATTGTTTTTATTTTACGTTCCTGTACAGCACTTTGATTTTTATTGTGCTTTATAAATAAACGATGATGATGATGATGAATTTCATCACCTTCCGCTTTTTTATTTTTAAGTTGAGAAATAAGCTATTTTGGTCAAACCTTAAAATTAATAATGAGCAATTTTATGTAACATTGCAAATGTGTGAATGACTTTCTGCTACCACATCAGATTCCAGCTCAGTGTCTTTAAAACCGACTGAGTCGAAGCTATTTTTGCGTTTGCTACTGTTGATTTGCTGTAGTGGCCATATTGAATTACTGCCAAAAGTTTATCGATTGCAGACGTACACGCAATGATAATTTCCCCAAAAGTTTCATTAAAATCTGTCCAGCGGATTATGAGATATTTGAACGAGAATCAGAACGTGTCTGCTACCAGGCCATATTTCAGCTATCTGTAAAACTGATTGAGTTATAGTGAGAAATTAAGAGAACACAGACACACAAGAATTGCCTTTCAGCAGTGAGTGATCATTAATTCAGTTAAACACAACTTTAAACAAGTTGTCATGTGCCATTACTGGTAACCAATTAACAAGTTTCACGTGTGCATAGTTAGTTTGAACTGTATTGACTTGTGACCTCTTACAAGAGCTCACTTACATTTCTGTGATAAGCTGCTACAACACACACACACACACACACA